GGGCCTCACGCCGCTGGTCGATGATGTTTAGTGTCCTCTCTGATATCCAGGGCTTTCTCGGGAAGGATCGTGAGCGTCCGAGGACATTGTGAGCAGACTGGAGGACACTTTCCTTGAAGGCCACCCAGTCTGTCAGTTTGTCAGGGGCCAGGGCATCGAGAGTGCGGCGGATGGAGCAACTGAAGTCTGTGGCGATGTTGGGGTCGCTGAGTCGGGAGGAGTCGGGGCGAGGCAGAGTCTTGTGCTGGATGGCTCGGAGCTTTAGCTTAAGCTGGGCCACCAGCAGACGATGGTCTGTGTTGCCAAGCTGTGCTCCTCTGAACACCCGGCAGTTGGTGACAAACGACTTCCAGCGTCGTGAGATGAGGATGTGGTCCAACGCCTTCCTTGTTCTGCCATCTGGGCTGTACCACGTCCAGTGATGGACGCGTTTCCGGGGAAACCAGGTGTCAGCAACACAGAGGTTGTTTTGGTGGCAGAGGAGGAGGAGGCGGTTGCCATTGTCGTTTGTTGTACTGTCAACAAAGGTGGTGCCGACAGGTGAGCCAGGGGACCGATCACTGCTGGATAGAGTGGCGTTGGCGTCAGTGAGGATGATGGTGATGTCGTGTGGTGGGGCTTGGTCGACAGCCTGGTGGAGTTGGTCGTAGAACGCGTCCTTCGCTTCCTCATCAGCGACGTCAGTGGGGGCGTAGGCGACTATAACAGTCATCTTGCCGTGATGGTGGAGGAAGCGTGCAGACAGTAGTCTGTCGCTTATGGGCGTCCAGCTGATGAGGGACCTCCGGAGGGCTTTTGGAATGGCAAGAGCCACACCGTAAAGGCCGGTCCGACTCTCGGGGCCACTCCAGATGTAGCAATGGTTGCCTGCTGTTGTTTCGCCATTGCCTTGCCATCGCACTTCACAGAGCCCTGCCAGGCTGATGTTATAACGACAGAGCTCTCGGGACAGCAGGGTGGCAGCTCCGGGGCGAAGGAGTGTCTGGACATTCCAGGTGGCGACACGGGTCTTTCGACGAAGGTCGATCCGTACTCGTTGGTCGGGGGCAGGCTGGGGTCCGTTACCGTGTTGGTCAGTCCGGCTTCTTTCTCTGGTCAGTTTCGTAACAAAGGGGGTTTCTCCTGGGTGGGTTGTTAGCCCTCCGCAGGATAGTCGGTTGGCGGGGCTGCCGCCTCACAGCGTACCAACCCGCTGGGGTCTTTGTTTGTCTGGAACCTACCCTGGAGACCGGCCTGCCATGGGTGACCCTACCAGGAGCAAGCTCCCGACAGTATCGCTCTCCAGGGTCATTGGAACACACAAGCCCCCTCGCCGCATCAAGGCCAGACCCATTCGAGGGGGGTATCTAGTGTAGTGGTTCTTAACCTTCTTAGAGGTACCGAATCCAACCAGTTAATATGCACATTCACCGAACCCTTTATTAGTAAAAAATAAATAAATATGATTTTTTTTTTACAAATTCAGGATATTAAAAAAAAAACGCATTTATTAAAAACAGAAAAAAGTAAATAAAGTTACATGGCATAAGTATAGGTTTTTTTATATTGTATGACGTACAATCATGACAGTCACACTGTGAGTACTAAGTAAACTAAATTTCCCACAGCACTGATTGGACAAGCAATGTCATGTGATCATCTGCAGCCAGCGATGGCCAAGCGGGCGTATCATAACTAATTGACGTTGAGTCGGGTGTGTCTTAATCTCCATGGCGGAGGCTCCGCCGAACCCCTGAGACCGATTCACCGAACCTCTAGGGTTCGATCGAACCCAGGTTAAGAACCACTGATTTGTGTGTACAACTATATAAACTATTTATGAACAATTTTTCTAAAGAAGTGATTTTCAACTACAGTATCAAATAAAAGATTACATTTGTACATACTGCAACAGTGGCTTGAATTTGTTATTATTATTATTATTTTTTGTCCCAATGTGTGATAGTGAGAGCGGATGGTTGGTTGTCTATGTTTGCCCTGTGATTGGCTGGCAACCAGTTCAGGGTGTACCCCGCCTACTGCCCGAAGACAGCTGGGATAGGCTATAGCACACCAGCAACGCTTGTGATAATCAGCGGATTAAAAAAATGGATGGATGGATGTTTTTAACCACTTACTTAGGTACAATTTCTATTTAACTTAAAATAGCTTTTGGTTACAACATTACTTAAGTGTAGTCCCCCCCCCCTATTGAAACGCAGTGCTAATGTTCAAATTCGGCATAGTGTTAATGAGTCTTATAATACTACTACAGTACAGTCTTATAATACTACTACCGAGAAATCAACACAGCTTAGAACAGAAGCGAATTTCACCTTCGAAGATGTAAGCCTTTGAAGCGAAGTATAAACCAATCGGTAGCGTGACCATAAGTATGGTGAAGAACAGCAATGTCTTGAGGGCTGAAACCAAGGAGCCTTCATTCCTGCATGGAAGCCACACAAACACGCACGCACACGAGTCAGCTTTAGTCCCTTCTTTCGGGGCATCCCCTGCGTTGAAACGTTTTCTGTCACGCTATAACAGACCGCAGCCGCACAAAGCTAGGACACACAGGGGGTGACTTTTCTTACGTTCTGAAATGAGGCGGGGGTCCGCCCGTGCTGCCCGACGAAGCGCTGATGGATCCGTCCATTGTTGTGTGGATGGCCGACGTCAAAGATCGTTCCTTGTTTTGCATTACTTCCGCATTAAGTCACGGGACTGTCATATGACCACTTGAGATCTCAGTTTGTATCGCGAGAAATGGGAGGCGGCGTTCATCGGGACTTTTTTTGACCGTCCCTTTTTTATATGTCACAAGATTGCAATGTAGAGACATCATAATTATTATTTTATATTTTCAGGAGTAACAGCAAAATAGCAATACAAAGAATAATAACGCATTTTATTTGCAGCCATCTTTCAGGGCAGTCAAGGTCACTGTCCAACTAATGAAAACAAGCAATCCCATTAAAACAAACCATCCAAAAGAATAAAAGCTGTACAAGAGTGACACTGTATGCAGAACATCAAATTGTGGAGCGTGACTGTCTCAGAGTGATTTTGGTAGTGAGTGCCATTGATGTGCCAACGCTGGACGCTAAAGAGGATAAACTGACTAGAGGTACAATGAGAAGTGAGGAGAAAGGGCAGAAAAAAGAATGAAGGACTGGTGTTAGGCCAGTTACAGCCAAAATGTAACATAGCCTATTGCATATTACTCGTTGCATGCATTTGAAAGTAACACGTTTCTTTATAACATCACCATCTGTGTACTGTAGAGTAATAATGTGTGGTCACAGACCCTCTTCCTTCTGTGATTTTATTTTGGAGAGTTTTTGTACTTTTGTGCATACTCAATTGTTCTTGTTTGTCTTGTTCCAGTGCCTGCCTCTCTGCCCAGCCTGGCTCCACGTTTTCCTCCACGGACCACTTGACCCTGCACCTGTCCTTCAGTCCTCTCCTTCGCTTTTGGATCGTCTGCCGCCATTACCTTTGCTATCCATAACAAATAAGTTACTTTTAAGTACCTTTTTAGTTTTCAGTTAATTGTAATTCCTCATATAGTGGTAGGGTTGTGTGCACAAAACTAAAATCTAATGAGGTCTATATTGCATCTGCAAATAGTAGCTTCCATGAATAGCTGAATTACAATATTGTATTGATTCAATGACATTCCAATTTGATGCTTAATGGTCAGTTTCAGGAGGTGTATTTACTATGTAGTCTATGGGACTACATAGTAAAAGACATGTTTTTCAGTAAATAACTGTCAACTTCTGAAGAAGTTGTCATTTTTTTGTCAACTTTTCTTTTGATGGCGGCGTGGACACCCGCAGCGGCTCCTCTTGTTTTATGTTGAGAGGGAAGAACTTTCATCTGTGCTGTATATGTTAATACAGCACATTTGACAATAAAGTTGTATTCAATACAATTCAAGTTGATCATTTTATTTAGCGTAGTGAAATATCACTACGATACAATACAACACATCTTTATTTATATCGTGCTTTCACAACAGCTACAACTGTAAAATAATCACTTTACACAACAGTTAACATAAAATAACAAAATAATCGATAATAAAATAAAATAAATAGATAAAAAAATTAATATGAAATAAAATGTTGCATTAGATATTCCTGTTACTTCAGAAAACCTGTTGCAAAAATTTGGTTGACCACACTGAAAGCAAATTCAGTTTGCTTAAGTGATAATTCTAAGGATTTCCATTATTTAAATGTGTGGAATAATTCAGATGCACAACTAGATGTTATTTGGAATATGTCCAAATAACATCTAGTTGTGCACCTGAATTATATACACACATATCCACGCGCGCAGTGGCGGACCCTGAGGGCCAGCAAGGCCTTCTCTGCTGGCCTAAACATTCTCAGAAAAGTAAATTTACTTTTCTGAGAATAACATAAATTTGTTATTTTATTTTCATAAATATGTCAACAAAATTATTCTCTGTATTCTTTACGTCATATTATTTCCACTTAGTTGAGTGGCTTTCAAT